CGTGACGAAGGCTTTTGCGGTAGGCGAAGTGTGTACCTACGCGTGCCACGACTCGAATAAAGGGGATAAGGTTCGGGGCCAGGAATATCGTTGATATATTGCGCGAACTCCATATCTTCGTATTAACGCACACAAAAATAGACAGCCCTCGTTTTTCACGAGTAATAACCAAATACTATATTCGAACTAGTCGTGTAGCTACGTTTATCACGCTGACGCCTCTGTATCTTGCGTATTCAGTGGGTAAATAATTTCAGTTATTCTTTTATTGATGTGATTTTATCGGTACTAATCCCCTTATTATGTCACAGGTCTCGAAGCTATTCTAGAAAAGTATCAAAAGTTGCGTGTATCTGACAAATGTTTTAATGGAGACACGAAATAGCGCAGAAAAGTCGTAACCAGGGAATAAATCCCTGCCACAGGTGATTTTAATTCGAGTCTAACCTGCATCAGGTTATCAGCTGCAGGGATTACGGAAGGGTAGGTTTTTGCGGTGGCGAAATCTCGATCCCTGAAAAGAGGGGACTTGTGAGATAGGAAATTTGTCGGGGTTATGCAAAGGACAGGGTTGTCCGTTACGCTTAAAGAGGGGTCTACCTGACACAAACTTAATAAGTGAGCCAAGTTTTCTAATTATTAAAGGCAATCATGTTTTCAAATTATTCAAATAACGTTTTGCGGTATTTAACATTGCAGATAATGTTTGGTCGGCTCTTACTCGAAAGCTTCATTTGCTCGTACGTTTGCGTAACTGTAAATCGTATTACTGGATGATCTCGTCGAACGGTATTATTAAATATTTGAAATAATTCACTTAACTGGAGGTAAGTTAAAATTCAAATTACACGTGTGCGCGTAGTTACCTCCAGCGTTAATATTTTCCTGGAATTTACCAGAACGTACAGTCGCTCCGTCATCGCGGCTCGTTAGTTTGAATTAATATTACAACGTATAATATTTGCTGTACGTAGCCCTAATTATTCAGTATTCGCTCGGAGAACAAATCTTTTCCAATAATTTCATTGCCGCGCATTTCTCTGCCCGCGAACTTCGGTAAGTTTTCTCGAGCACAGTCAAAACCTGAAAGCACCGTTCCAGATAGCATGATTTTGTGGTTCGCGACGATCGTCTCTCTCTCTTCCTCAGGCTTTAATGGACCACCCGGACGAAGTCACGAGGGCAGGATGCGCGCCCTCGAGAAATGACATGAAATCGCGGTTAACCAGTCGATTTTGCACATACGCCAGCTGCTGAGAGCGAAAATTCGATTCTTCCTTAGGCGCCATTAGTCTTTAGGTGAACGTGCAAGCGCGTTGGAGTCCATCAATCGGTGTAAATTGAACGAGGTGAAGTAAAACGATTATATTCTTTCGGTCTTTGACCTGAGACCACTAACGCGCCAAAGCGGTTCGTACAATAAATTTTCATCTCATAATCAGAAATTCCTCTTCACTGCGAGAGAAACGCGTGACCTACCGCGATGTGTGTCATATATCATTTGGAAGACTGTGAATTGAGAGGTTCCTTAATTTTATTGAAAGTGTTTGAAAACATCCCAAGTCGATCCTATGTATAGAATGCTCACTAAAAAAGAGTGGGTTCTTAAATCGCCATCTTTTGTCCCACTTACGTCTTGTAATGTGAGAGCATGGAAGTCGTTCTCGTTATGCTGACCCACCTATGCCTTTTCATAAAATTTCATCCGACGACGTTTCTCAACAGCTATAAAAATTTTCTGCTTCCAGGCATTCGGTGGAGCAAATACAGTTCATTTTCAGTCTCCATCCGTTGAAATAGCTTTTCCCGTGTCACACGGTTCAACGCGAGGGAGACTGTGAAACTGACGTGTCAGTGCTTCGAATCGCAATAAGTACACACAAGGAGCGTGGTTTAGGACAGGAACTGTAATCCCCGTGGATAGTTCCGTCAAGTCAAATACGCTGTTAGCCGGCAACTGAATACGCGGCGACGGTATCAAACAGGCGGAAGCTACGCGACTTTCATGTACACTACACTGCGTGCCTGCTCATTAGTAAGCGAACTTTCTCGCGTTCTACCGTATTTCGGAAGCGTTCGTGAAAATTTATTTTTCGTTGAGAGTACCGGAGGCACGACGTGACATTCAGGCACTGCCGCCGATTTCTTTTCTCAGCGTGCACCAACCGAAACTCTCTGAAAAACGGAGAATTGTATGTTCAAGGCGTTGAATGATCAGAAGCGTGTGTTCTGTTGTTTGTTGAACTCTCTATCGCTACCGAAAGAGATCGTCAACGCTAGCCGTGCATACGGTCCGTGCGTCCTCGTCCCATAAATTCCAGTGTTCAAGGATGCGAGTGGCCAACCTGGTCGACGGGTACCATTCGAGGAGTAACAGTTGACACGAATAGTTGCGACGCGCGTTTTGCTGCGATATTATGCAACGTGCACGTTACGTCACGCTTACAGTGTTTCTTTCGCTCCGTGCACGATCGTGAAAATCGTGAGCAAAGAAAACACGCGGTTGAGGGCCGAATGTTACCGCTGCGACGGCTGTGTGGTTCACCTTGGACCGCCGGAGGGCTGAAACGCAGGCGGAAGCGGGTAACTCGGGATAATTGCATTCTGGACAAATGCAACTAACGTTATAATGTAAATTAATGTAAATTCATCCGTAGGAGAAGAAAGAAAGGAATTGGAGGAACGTTTCGTTAATTTTTTACGCGCGTAGATAATTGTACGATTATTTTAAGCGAGCGGATATGATACGATATAATAAAGCAATAACAGCAGTGAGCCAAGTTGAAGCGTTTTGCGCGATAATGTAGCGGAGGAGGATACAGAAGTCCGCTGCGTTCTCGGTTATTGCACCCTGGTGACACCAGACGGTCGAAAGAGGGTTAACGATCAGGTCATTGTACCCACGGATGACCTTCCTAGTGGTGTTGGATTCGTTGACCAAAAATACTCGTAACGAGCAAACGTCGCTATATATGGGCACTGACAAAACGACTCTAAAGGGGTTAACAGTCGTAACGGACAATCCTATGTAAGATATCATCGGAAATAGACGATGCGCGCTCGATTTCTGATCTTCTGCGAACGATACGATCCGTGATTCGGGCGATTCTCGTGCCAACCGAAAAAGAAACGGCTGCCATCGAAACGGGGAAACGTTGAACTCGTCAGCGTGCACTCGCGATTTCGCAATCGGCGAACACACCAGCTCGATAGAATATATATTTTCTGTATAGACGCAACGAGAATAGAAGAAGAATGGAATTAACGGGGGCGATACTGGCGAAGTGGTCGTTTTGCACGCCGCTGTTCACCAAACAACTATTTTCTAAACTAACAAACGTCCTGTCGGTCTGCTCCATAACTAACAGCGAAAATCGACGATCCAATGTATCTCGGTGTACAAGAAAGCTTTCGAGGGCTGGGCTTGGATCCAACAACAACCGCCATATTTATGGTGCCGGGCCGTCTTAACCCACTGAGAGAGCCGAATGTATCCGAGAAACCGAGTCGAAGTTGAGAGGTTACGAGAGGTCAGGTTCCAGCGCTACGTAACATCCAGAATTCATTAAGAGTGTATTAGCATTATCTGACATGATCGTTTCTCACAGTCAATCGATATTATGTATCGTACGCGTGCCATTCTTTCCATTTCTTACTAGTTTTCTTGCAAACACTCTCGGCGTGTTCTCGCTGAAAATATACCGAGAATGTTTACGTACGCGCGTCCTAGTAACACGAATACCAAAGCCGTTGCATCGAAAATACGCACGACCATAAAAGGGTGACATAAGGGTAAAACAAAAAGAGTTTGTGAATCCGGTGGTTGTCTTCCCTACGCTGTGGGGCGATAACTCGACAACGATAGCTCGAACGGAAACGAGGTGCAGGTTTGATAAGTGGAGCCGGTCTTCTAATTCCATTCGCCATAAATGCCGCTTACGTATCTAATCTGGCATTCCTGAGCGCTGTAGCAGCGTCTACAAAACAGCTTTTAACGAACGCGCAGAATCTATGAATCACGTACAGTGACACAACGCGTTCATCTTTCTCTCTCTCTCTTTCTCTCCCGCTTTTTTTCCCGCTCGTTGACTCACAACCGATTATTCATTTTCGTGTAATTTTTCGTTCGTAATCGACGTCTCACGCGTGAGAGTCTATCGGATAATGTTTGCGAGTACGTAGTTTGTAAGTGTGCGATAAATTTAACGTGAGATCATATGTAGATGTGGATAAGTATATACAATGTAAGTGACACAGTTTCTCCGATTTATATCAAGTGGTAGTCTCGAAAATGTTCGTAATGTTGTTCCTGCGTGGAAATTCGTAGATGTTAGTTGCAGACAAGATGACAATCACAGTTTGAAAATAGTTGAATGTATACAATATTAGAAATGATTATCAGGCTGAAGTTCAGCCAGTCTATTCGAGTTTTGGCTCAAAGAACAGAGAGTGTAATTGACGCCGTAATTTACTACCACTCAAACGGGAACTAATCGTTTCTCGTGCCAATGCTAGACTGTTGGGTACCACTAAAAAGGGTCCGTAATTACAGTACGGTACAAAAAAGAGCGCGGACATAACGATCCTTTACCAAACTTGTCTACAAATTAGCCTTCGTGTATTAATAAACGTAACCCATTATTCTCGTTACGGCGCTTGGAATGTACAAACAATATGTAAAAGAAAAAAAGAAAAAGAAGAAAGAGAGGATGGGACAATTGCTGCGTATATGCAGTTCCTTTTATCGGAGCCGTAAGCTCGGTCGCATCATTGAAGGATATTTCGGAAGAAAATGGTACGCGAGTCGAAGATGATTCGCCGAAGAGAAATAGAGAGAGAGAGAGAGAGAAAGAGAGAGAGAGAAAGGAAAACGGCGTCGCGACGCCACCGAGCAGTGCTGCCACGACGCGAAACGGTCGCCGGCCGCGATATCGCGTCGCCGGCAGCGAGCGCGCGCTCGGTATTGCTCGGCCGAGTTCGGCCCTCCTCGCGTACAGTTATGGCAAGGGAACGTCAGTCACTCTTCGGCGCTCGCGCGGAAGAGTCTGTACGCATTAAGCGCTGGGGAAATCGTTGCTCCTTGCGGAGTGTTAAATATCTCGTATATGTTTCTTCGTTGTTCATCCCCAGCGACGTGTACCTAGCCCGTGATCGTTGTGACCGACGCGATCGAGTACAGTGACACGAGTACGCCACGTCCGCAAGTGTCGCGGGAAAAAAGCCGGTAGGTGACGGCTGAGCCGCGTGTGTTCCTCGCCAGAGAGTATATATATATATATATATATATATGAGTTACCGGAGCAAGACGAACGGAACGAGGGGAATGCCAGTGGAGATAGAACGTCAACAGTGATTGCACTCCAATTTTGCATCGTAGTGAGAACGAAAGAAAGAGAGCGAGAGAGAGAGAGAGCGAGAGAGAGAGAGAGAACGAGAGAACGAAAGAGAGAGAGAGAGAGAGAGAGAGTAATAGAGGAAAGAGAATCGACAGAGAGTCGTCAAGAATCAGAGCACAGTGAGTGAGGAGAGAGAGAGAGAGAGAGAGAGAGAGAGAGGGAGAGAAAGAGAGAGAGAGAGAGAGAGAGTATTAAAGCAAGAAGCCGAATGATTCGAACAGATACCGGGTCGTGACTCGTGCCGGCGTTTTGACGTTTCGTCTTTCGTACAGTTGCGAGGTTCCCCGTTCTCACGTTCCACGTATGATGGATGCTGTCGCGCGTGTCTCGTGTACGCGACGCTATCGAGAACAGACAGAGCGTCGATTCGCACAAGCAACAGCATTGCAGTGAGTTGTTACACTGGCTGCAGAAGTCGTGCAGTGCGTCGCGTGCCGCTTTCTTTTCAACGATTGTACCAACGCCGCGCCGTGGTGGCAGCAACAGTAAAACGCCGGTAGTGCGATCAGATATTCCTCTCGCAGAATATACGAGTCACCAGGGTTTTGTTGGTGTTTGTGCGGGCGCGGAAAAAGGAAGCGGTTAACCGGTCTTTCTCTCGTCCCGATCGACCAGAGAGTGGTCGATCTTGTGAACCTCTTTTCTCTTACTCCGTATCGGTCTCTGTTGGTCATCCTGCTACGGTGACGTCGTAACCATCGGTGCTTCTTCGATGATAAGCACGTGTGCGTGCCACTACCTGCTGCGTGTACGTGCGTGCGTTAACGTCGCGAGCTGCGTATCGGCGTGCAGTTAGTGACCGGGGCTGCGTTACCATCTAAGTCCTCCGTATACCAGTACATCGAGGCAAAGTTTTGTTGTTTATTTACATCGTCCTGTTGGTTTTAATTTGGCTCGAACGAGTCCAAGTTTCATTTATCTGTGTCGAAGTCAGTTACGAACGGATCACCGGCGTAACCATGGATATCCTGCCGAGTGGGAACATATTTAGGGAGTTGCAAGACATACACGACACCGGATACTTTTCGGCCCAGCCGTCGCTCGAGGATCATTGGCAACAGGTAAGAATGCATCTACATTTGAATTCGTACCACCTGGCACGCCTCTTGTCCCGTCGTGGACGCCAGTTTCCACTTTCTCGTTCCGACAGAACGGAGTAATAAGTCAAACCGGGACGTCTAGCGTGCTACGTCGCGCGTACGAGGAAGTTCAAACGGCGGCCGTGAATTTCAAACGCGAAAAGGCGCTCGTAACCTCGACCGCCATATTTGAATTTCTAACGGTCAACGTAGTAACGCGTGACGTTGTCTATCGAGTTCATTGACGCGCGCGAATTCAATTGCCCGTGAAACGTCAGGAACTCTGCGAAATGTTCGAATCTCTAAAAGTTTTTAAATCCCAATAAATTCGTTTACGATCGTCCAACGATTACGTCGATTACTTTTCTTTTTTTTTTTTTCTCTCTCTCATGAAAATTTGAATTCACGATCAATCGCGAAGAAGTGCGTTTTTCCTCGCAGTTTTTCGGTCGGAGTCCGTTTAAATCGATTATCGATATGCAGCGGGCTATTATGACGGGGCGACCTTGAGCCGTAGTATTAGATCGGTGTGTTCAGTGACGCGGCCGAGCGTACTATAGACGGCGCATCCTGTTTGTTTACGAGTGTGCAATGACCTTCCAGTGCAGTGGTCGAGGAAGGCAGGGGGGACGTAGTACTTACTTACTTGTTCCCCATTCAATATCTCAACCGGAGTACAACAGTTTCCTCGCTTCGTTAAAATAGTACGCGTGACGTCACTGGTAGCGCCGTGAGCCCGTGTTGCGTGCTGCCTTAACGGTTCGCTACCATCGCGATTCCCTGGAATTTCCGACCTTTTCTTTTTTTCTGTCTCTTTTTAAATTGCCGTTGTCGTACAGACTGCATCAAAATACGTATAACAATGTCGAAGGAAAGAAAATTCCAAGGAAAATATGCTCGCGTTCCTTTTAACGAATAAAGACAGCTATAACGTGCATCATCGACGTTATATAATTTTCTTTTTATTACAGTTAATTAAAATTCTTGACATTTCTAAAATATTCATTCGCTAAATAATATATATCTTTTAATCCTTGATATTTAATAATACAAACTGCGAACACGTGTCTCTCTTTAACGGAATGTGTCATGTATTTTTGTCAGAAAATTTGTGACGTATCTCCTATCGAAATCAATGTTCCATCGAGAAAAGTTGGAGGAAATTTTCGATTGTTCGTTTCCTTCTTGCGATTACTTTTCATTGTATCGTCATATCTTTCATATCATTTCATCTATCTATCTTTCGATTTTATTCCTGGTTACATTTCAATTATCGTTCTTTTAATTATCAATGGCTTATCAGACAGTTAGATCGCGCGTGGCGAAATTTATGGCGAGGAAATCTCGGTTTGTCGCTTGGTACTCGACATTTGACCTGCGCAACATTGTTGGGTCGGGTTTAGTTTGGCGCGGTGCCTAATTGAACGTCTCGAAGGGTTTCCAACGGAAAACCGACCGGCACTTTGGTCGCTTTCTTTTCTTTCTCGTTAATTACCCGTACGATCGAGCGTTTTTTATTGTCGGCCAAGAAACATCGTCAGGCTAGCTAGATTCTAACAGGCAATATCGTCCTCTTGCCGTGATCGGTGCTGGCTGCATCACCGGATGCCCGTTGTCCTCCTCAATTACGATCTTTCTGATTGCATTAATTTACCTCGTGTTTCGTTCCTTTTACCGCGACATCATTCGCCTCGCCGCTGGAATCGAATTTGTCGGAAGCGGCCACTATTTTAAATGGAATTTCTCCGGCTTTCTACGCTCCGCAGTGTCTCTCGTGTTTAGAGAGTAAGCCAAACGTTGGCCAAAGAAAGAAATACTATCTATTTAATCGTGCTCAGAGTCTTTCGGTCTCTGGCTCTATTTCTACGTTCGACAATACTTGGATAGCTTTGAAGTTACTTCGCTTATCCATTTTATCGAACGAACCGAGAATAGAATGCATGTAGATTAGCTCGTTGTTCTGGCAGTTGATCTCGATACTCCCGGACGTTGCGTTCGTTCTTTATTTTATTAACCAGAATTGCGTCTCTTGGTGGTCGTGCCGAACGTAAATACTAGGCGGTTTGGAAACTTGGTCTGATCACGATATTTGTCGAAACGCTAGTTTTACCATGGGCACCGTTTTCACGAGGTACGCGCTGATGTACATCGACAGCGTCATTCGATAGGCGAACAGATGGTCGGGTCACATCGACAACGCGACAGCGTTGGTCGCGTGACCGATAATGCGATTCGACAGGTGCTCTGTTGTATATTCTTGTATTCCGAACTTTACACGATCCAGTTTCGCCAGCAATTATCGTCGTTGGCGAGGGAACGAGGCTTTGATGCGCGTCGCCGCTGGAACCGATGTAACTCGGCCGATTTTCGGCGCGAATCAGACGACCAAGAAATTTCGCGAGGTAGCGCGACGATAATGCCTGTCTGCGCGATAATTCGATTGCATCGCACTCCGAAGTACTTATCTCTCCGTTCCACATTCGATTATGCGTATTTTTCTGACTCGCTGATTTCAAATTGCCTCGTAATTAACGTGACTAATGGCTTGCAGTTACTATAAATTACTATAATAAATTGATGCAAAAGATCGCTGTGCGCGTACAAGCATCGAACGAAACAGAAGAGAAATGTTTAGTATTTCTGCATCAGAGAAATAGATTGGAAATTGAACTTGGGATTAGCGTGGACTAATCGTTGATATTTGAATATATTTAAACGTCGTATAATTCGTAGAATGTCGTCTTTTTATGCATCTAATTATGATAATTGTTCAGGTAATTAAACAACGAGTCTTAAAAAATGAATTGATGACAAAAATAGTGAGCATAAGGTGTCGAGCGACCTTGCTGAAGTTTCCTTTCATTTAACACCTGATGTAATTACTGAAATACATCCTACGCACCATGCCGCGATGAATTATTCATTGCCGATACGCAAAGCGGATCCAAAGGCCTCTAATATGCCAATTCCCGTTTATGAACCAACCAACCATTCTCCCGCCGCATCTTTTCGCGCAACGGACGTACGTGAAAATATTTTTTCGTAAATAATTCAGCGGATTGAATAATTGATCGTCCGGCGGATCGTATCCACGGTCGTGCGTGCAAATATTTTCGCAGCAGCGGTGTTGCTTTCTCTCTCTCTCTTTTTCTCTCTCTTTTTCATCCTCGATTAATACGTGATACGATATTGACGTGCGCGAATCAAAATCGCGAATTAAAATTTCCTGCCGGGTAGCGACTGCGCTTGTAATATTTTCGATTGAATTTTACATCGTTTCGAATTGCTTCGGTTGGATCTCTCTCTCTCCCTCTCTCTCTCTCTCTCTCGCTTTTCTATATTTTTTTATTTCGTTACGATGTACGCGGAATTGGTCACGTTGGTCTGGTGCACCAGTTTTTCCTCGTCTCGACACGCTTGTTTACCGATATGTACGAAAAATCGTCGGCTTCGTAACGACGTCGTTGAGCAGCTTCGTGTTTTACGACACGCGCGTGAAAGCTCGAACGATCGGCGCGAGCCGCGGAACTTTTGCTCGTATGAATTATACGCTCGTGACAGTGGCGGCGCGGCATCGGTAACATTTTTGTTTTCTCCTTATACATAGGTCGGCGCTTCCACTTCATGTCGCATATTACGACACACTTGACTCAACGCGATATTTTACGGCGTGTGTATCCGTACACGTACGTTTCACAATCGGGCCCGGGTGTCGTGTGCATTGCCGACGACAATCTCGCTCCGTTTCTCTTTTCCACTCTCTTCCCCCCTCCCCCTCCCCTTACCCCACGGTTTCTGTTCCTCCCCGTCTCTCGGTTGCATTCGCTTATCTATCGAGAATTTCGTGAGAGTTTCTTTTGCACGACTTTCACCCGGACGTGTATCGCTTCCCTCGCGAGCTTCGAATTTTACAGACGAGCGCATATATAACGGAGCGCCGTAGCGTTGCTACACACGCGAGATTGAAAATTTGTTGAATCTCTTCTCGAGTTATTGTGAACATTGAATGGACGGAGTGGCACGTCGAGGAAGAAATTCGTTTAATTCGATGTGCGTCGTGTGCTTTGCCATGTAATAAACGTTTCGGTGAATCATCGCGATTGTCATCCGCGTTATTTAAATAATCCTGCATCGAAATGGAAGCATTACACTTGCCATTTTCTCGCTATGTCGGTTTTTATAGATGTGATATTTTTCTTTTTTTTTTTTTTTTTTTATGTTGAGAGACACACGGATGATTCATTTTCTATCTGAAATCACAAACGTTCGTTGCCGATCGTAAAGAGGAGTAGAGGAAGCGTGTCCTCGTGTGTGATGTGTTTGTTAATAAGGTTTGTTGACGAGGAACGCATGAAAATCAATGAAATGTTCGCTACGTTTCCACGGTGCTCGTTGCATGATCGTAGTAATACTACATTAATTTTGTATCCCATCGCGGTTTCATCTTCCTCCTTAATTTTCTTTTTTTTTTTTTTTTTACATAGCGTTTAATACCGTTTCGATTTTTCCGTGGCAGCCAGTAATTGCGAGAAAGCTGAGGTGGACTAGTCGCTTTGTAACCGACGAGTCGCGTTTCCATCGCGAGAGCGGGTACGATAAAGTCGACCGAATCGAGGCAACTGCAGAGCAGGGAAATGGTTCTGCATATTTATTTCGCGCTTATCGTTCGAGCGAAATTCAAAAACTCGGTACGCGCTTACGTATATGTGTGTACGCGGTCGTGCACATTCGTATGCGTGTGTATATATTTTTTTTTAATAGAAAGGGGCGAAATCCCCGGACGAAATGAAACGATACGCGAGTCGGTTTCATCGGTAAACAGTAGATTTTTCAAACGCGTTTCTCGTTGGTCGAGAACAGGGGGATCCGGTAATGCTTCGCACTCTTTCAACCGTCTCTGCCCCCCCCCCCCCCCCCCCTCCCGTGCCCTGGTTGGGTGCCGCGCGCGCGATATATTCCCGGACGGATAGAGAAAAGAGCAG